TATTTTTTTGTCCAAGGAATCTACTTAGGTGTCAGTGTTGAAGATGCACGAGGCACTAGTTAAATGCTTTCAATCTTCTCCATTATTCAAAAAACATAAATAAATAAGTTACTTCTTGATTTTGGCTCATATATTTAGTGAATACTGATATCATAGGTAGAATGTAAAGATGCACCATCACGTGTCTAAAAAGATAGGCAAAAGATATGGGATATGCAGGTATCAAACAAAATTAGCAAATTGAATGTCAGTGAAGACAATGCAAAAATAAAAAGCACTGCATTGTAAATTAAGAACATGACACACCTAATGTACACACTCTCATCTAACTGGAACCGGTGCTCGACAAGTCGTTAGTAGCAAAAGACTTTTTATTTATTTATTTTTATTTATTAATACTGTAACCCTCACTTGAGGGTCATTACAGGGAGGAATATAAACACAAAACAAAAACAATACACAATGACAAAACAGACATTATGTTTCATGTTGCCAGTAGTACAATTCTAGCGAACACTCAAACGCTTTGACATTTGCGCTAGTAACAGCGTACTCTGGAAGTCTATTCCACACTTCTATACTATACGGAAAAAAATAATTTTTAAAGCCATCCAGACGCGCCCAAAAAGGCCTTATTGGGTGACTATGGTTCAACCGAGCTCCTCGTTTGGGTGCAGGTTGTATGTATGTCTTTATTTATTTTCATTTCGCCTCTTATAAGTTGAAACAGGAGTTTTAAGCTTTGCTTTTCGCGGCGCACTTGCAGGGGTTCTAGCACACATAATTTTAACAAATTTGTGACGGATTCTGTCCTCCGGTACCGCGAGCAAATGAAGCACACTGCTAGCCTTTGAATTTTTTCTATTTTATCTCTCAGTGACTGCTGATGAGGACTCCATACAGAAGACGCATACTCCAAAATAGGGCAAACAAATGCCTTATATGAAAGTAATTTGACATCTCTAGGAGCATGTTCGAGTTTTTTCCTCAAGTAAAACAACTTCCTGTAGGCCTTTGAACACACCTCCTCAACATAAGTGTGCCACCCCAAATCGCTGGTAATAGTCACCCCCAGGTATTTAAAGCTGTGTGTTCTGGTCAGAAGGCTATTTCCGATTTTATAATCATATGCGAGTACGGATTTTTTTCTTGGTTATATGGGTGAACGTAGTCTTTGAAAAGTTAATTTACATCCCCCACTGGGCGCACCAATTATGCAAGGCTTGCAGACAGTGATTAATTTTGATTTGGTCATTTGCGTTAGTTACAGGAGCGTAAATTAAACAATCGTCTGCAAAAAGTTTGATTTTAACCGGGCTTTTGACAACTGCGGAAATATCATTTATAAAAATTAAAAACAACAAAGGACCCAGCACAGACCCCTGTGGGACACCAGACAATACTTTCAATGAACTAGATGTGCAATCATCTACATGTACTTTTTGTTGACGGTTCTCCAAATACGCGGCTATCCAATTTAGTATATCTGGGCTAAGTCCTAGTTGCTGAAGCTTAAAAATTAATTTGCTATGAGAAACTTTATCAAATGCTTTGGCGAAATCTACACAAATGACGTCTATTTGTTGTTGACCTTGGAGAGATAAATAAAAATCATGAACTGTTTCTACCAGTTGAGTAACAGTTGACAACGCCTTCCTGAATCCGTGTTGATACAAGAACTTCATAATTGACAAGAACTTCATAATTCATGTTGTTGTTCAGTCTTCAGAAGTGAATTCATCAAGGAGAAAAAGTACTCTTGTTCTCTATACCATCATAACATACCTCTGCATCCAGCATTATTTTTAAGCAGTGACCCTTTAATCAATGACCCAATAGAAATAACTTGGCTGGGCTATTTGTAGCACAGCTTCTTTTTAGAGACTATAGCTGCACTATTATTTCTCATACAGCACCTGCCTCACAGCTCTTGTGCTCATGGGCTCTGCAAAGGCAAAAGCTCTGCTGTGATCAAATGATCTTCAACAAATAATTCTACATAACTGACTGTTATGAACATTGTAGTTATTACTCACTGCACAGGACATTAACAGCCCACACACACAAGAAAACATTCTTCTTATACTGCTAATGCCTTGTGCAATGGAAGGCTAACTAGCCTAATCCTTTACAGTAAATAATTACTCACCGACATTTTTTTAGTAGTAATTCTATATTTTATGCCATTCACAGTAATTACTTTGGGCAAATATAGGCCTATGCCACATTGACCATAAGAAACTTGTTTTCCCAGTGAACAACATGTTGCCATTTATCAGCTAGTGCCACTGTGTTATTTGGCAGTTTCTGGACCTCATATTAAAAAAGAATATCCATCATCATGCAAAATGCATGTGTAGGTGGAAGAAGCTCTGGGGCCAGATTTTGAGTTAACATTTTTTATTATTTTCAGCACTGGCTTGCAAGCCATGACTCACATGATCAAAAACGCTCAGCATGACAGAAAGAATAAAAAGATAACAAAATAAAAAAATCGATAAGTAACAAAACAGAACAACCTTCATGCACAACGCATGCACGCATGATCCACAACGAGCAGTGTCACCGGGCTGGGGAACCAGTTCTCGTATCTCATTTTTACTAAAAAAAAAAAGGCAGGTCTGTACGTATCACCTACCCTCTCCGTGCTACCCTGCAGTGAACCTTATTGCAACTAATTACAGAATCTTTATTTACATGAGTGCACTAAACCACTAAAAAATTCAATGCATTCGGCATTATTAGAAGAAAACAATATGTACAAAAAGATGATGATTTTTTCGATCATACTGATATTGGATGCTGAACATAAATAGATAAAATTATATTTATGAAGTGGGACTATAGCATGCCACAATACAGTAGACTCTCAATAAACGGAAAGCTGTTAAATGGACCTACTGCTTAATGGAACTATTGCTTCTGCAATGCTTGGTTTTGGGCTTGTATTCTGCACCCATGTTCACCTCTCAGTAAACAGAACTCCTGTTAAATGGAACATATTTTCCTGGTCCCTTTAGGTTCCATTTATGAGAGTCTACTGTATTCAGAAAAAAATACGGGGACAACATTTCATGTGCTTGTCCGAGGCTACTATAATTAACCAAAATACTCCTCTAACTTCACGAGTTTACACTTTGCTAAATTTACAAAAAGAATACTAAAGAGAAACTCTAAATTATATTACACAAGGTACTCTTTTACAACTCTGCTTTCGTTATTTTAGAGTTAGAATATATGACAGAAAATGAGGCCCAAACTTGCATTTCTCAAGCTTCATGCTAACACGTCAGAGCTGGTACATCACTGTAACGTCACTAATATCAAATTAAACTTTTCTCATAGAATTTTGCCCGTTGTGGGAAAACAGAAGCTTTTGAAAGTTGTGAAGTTTAATCTGTTGCTTCTCTGAAATACCATATAATCAACCTTTACATACTACAAGTTCCATAGATGAGCAAGCAGTGTCAAAGTTCATGACATCAAGGCAACTTGGTTAAGGAAAGATTCCACTCCCATTTAATCCTAAAGTCTTTTTGGTTCAAACAGGCTTCACAATTACGATAAAAGTGGCTTACTAAGAAACGTTGAATGGTGATTTACTAATCTACATCTCAACTTAAATTTCTAAAAAGCTTACAGCAGAACAATTTGACCTCCAGACAATTCCATGAAAACCAATAGAAAACGGGACCAAAGTAATTTCAACAAAGTTGTAAAGCTTGTAACTTTACGTATACTTAACTCTGAGTGTTTTTGTCATACATGCATGGCGACCATTTTTTTTACTGCAGCACCTATGCCGTAAAGGTATGTTTTCGATCCTCGAATTTCGCGCTGCAATGATGATCTATGTTGGCTGGGAGGCACTGCCACTTCCCGGGACTTACAAGAAGCGTTGAAAATGAATGTACTACATTTTTCAGGAGATAAACAGAACTGATTTCCAGCGACACCATATTGTGCAGTCTATCGCAACTTCCAAGGGGCAATGCCCTTTCATGGTTTTGGTTTCGCTGCGTAATCGGTATGGGGGAATATGAAAATTAATATTTACCTTTGCCAGCACTCCCTTGGAGGGGCAGTAAAAGTTGATTCCTATCTTTAATGACACAGCTCTTAGCTTGTTTATTACCAACACTAAGTACGGTAGTTATTCTTATTTTCCCCCCTCAGTTTACTTGGCCCAAGGCAGCCACACACAGAGCCCACCTCGTTGCTCCAAGAAGAGAACAAAGATATGCCCTATGTGTGCAGATAGTGATAAGGCGCTGTTCGTAGACCCTGTTTTAAGAAATACGACACTATAAAATACTATTGAACACCATGCAGTTTTGAGTAGTAATGACACCAAAAAACTGTTCCACATTTTTGTTTACAATATTTTTCAGAATTTACACATTTCGTACATTCCAAAACTGCAATAAAGTAATTTGACTATCTGGGATGGTTCTCAGAAAAGTTCCATACCGAAAGGGTTAAATTATAGCAGCTTTCAAATTACACAAAGCAAATTCCAGGCACCTCCACAGTGTTCTATACAGCTACACAGCAGCGCAGATACAAGACCAATCCCAAAACTACGTGAAGCATAATAGAAATTGACGTAATGGTATTTTTTCCTACAATTAGAATAATGCAAGAACATCTCAGAATGAAAGCCACATATGGATTATGAATATTGCGCAAAGGATTAAGCAAGCTTGAATTCTCAGCCAGGTCACTCAAGAGGCTGGGTTTTTTGCTATTTTAAGTTAGTAGCAATACTGCTTTCAGCTTAAAAAAAAAAAAAAACTTGTTATTGAAATACCCATTCGAATATCGAATGCAGAGCTATGTATGCTTATATATATATATATATATATATATATACTGATGAAGGGAGGACCCCTCCCGAAACTGTTGGGAAATAAATATATTTATCCTTGTTGACAACGCTCCCGTTGTGCCATATCCCATATATATATATATATATATATATATATATATATATATATATATATATATATATATATAAAGTCTGAGGGTGATTCAGGATCCCTTCAAGTGATACTGCTCTGATTCTTTATGCAGTCACAGACAACGCTGAGTGGTGAGAGCACCATCTACTGCTTTAACTTTATTACATTCCCAACTGCCCAACTTGCTCCACTTTAAAAGTTCACTTGTGAGACTTGTGAGGTAAAATTACGGCTTTCTTAGTAAATGTTACAGCAACGCTTCTGCACAACATCTCGCATGCTCCTCGGGTCGTGAAGCGTCAACTCTTTTGTACTTAACTTGGTTATGTGTGGCATGTGTCACACCGATCTAAATTCACTAATGTAACATGCCATTGCAATTCTTTAACCATAAGCCTTTTTTCCCCTTTCTTTAAACGCTATGCTGAGAAGCAAGCATCCAGTTGTTCACGGAAGCTTCTATCCCAATTTAAACTCACAGCAAAGCCACAACTTGCTTGAGAGGGCTCAGCAGCTGGAAATGTCTACATCAGAACTATTACTCATGGAAAGGCACAGTCTAGTAACTCTTTGGCAACCCACCCGACAGGCTGACTCTCTTCACATAACAGTTAACCTGAGGAACAAAGTCATGCACAGCTTTTAAAAGTAATTCACGCCATTGTTTTCTTTTTTTTTTAAAGCTTTTCAATAAAAACTTTCTCTGTCTTTAAAACATCAATGAATAATTACAAAATGACTCAACAGGCACCTCTTGGAAAGGCAAAGTGACGAATTTTTCTTTGTAAATGATATTTACAACTAACTTGGGGAGCAGCAGAGTCTATGCACACAACAGTGACAGCTGCCCATGGGAGAGAAAAATTCGACTGGTCTGAAATCTGGCAGCTAGGCTTGGTTGGCAGTCACTGGAGGCTGCAGCAGTGCAAGGAGACGACGGCCTGTTTCACTTGTACTTCTTGTAGTCGGCAAAGCTCGATGACGCCTCTGTGCAGCTACGGCTCCCCTTACTACCAGCAACTTCAACTGCACACCGGCGTGGGAACCAACCCTTCAGCCTGCGAGCTGAATAGTGAAGTAAGCACAGTTAGCAATGTCCAGACGAAACTAATGACATATACGTACACAGTGTTTTTTCTAATTCTTACCAAATTAAAAAAAATAAAAAGTCACATGGGTGCAGTGAGAATTCTTATAACTTAGAATTGTTCACTGTAGCCTTAACTCAGTCAATTTCCACCATAGGTGATAACTATATTTAGTTAAGGAACTGTTCAAGTATTGTTATAAATTTAAAATCCCCAGTGAAGTTGCAGAGCCTGTTGAAAAAGATCTATCGAAAAAATTTATTTCCATTATGATAGATATTTGTGACTGCAATTATTCAGAGTTGCAACAAAGAGTGCAAGATGTGAAAAGAGTACCATGTCATCATGTGCTTGCACACAGTAAAATTAGTTCTTTCAGACATGCCATGAACAAATGATCACATCAGCATGTATACTCAAGGCAACGTCGTGTTGCGAGCAAAAGTAACCTGCGGTTATGCGCACTGCCTCCAATAAATCTCCATCTGCTGAGAAAACCTTCCTGTTTCATTATGCTGTATATCAACGAGTATGCTGGCAGAGCTTTAAGTACTGAGATACGTTATCTATGAGGTATCTCATGGCCTGCATTGCTGATAAAAGTGGAAGCAGAAACCATTATGTTTTATCCAGCTATGTTGCTCAAGGCATGTTTATGCCATTCATCTACATGAAGCCTCAATCATTCATTTGTGTCATGTTTGAAGTACCTTTTTGAGCTAAGTTCGTATCATGTCACAAGGTACTTTTTGACATCTACATCATTTTCTTTACAGCATTAAGAATATAGCAGCTATGTACTATAATAGAAATGATTTATATGAATATCTGAACAGGCTGTGCACTTCCCACAATAAAATTTCTGTTTAAAGCAATATTGTAAATTTGATTATTTACATTTAATTACCTAAGCTAACAATACTAAAATATTTTGAGCTGCTTAACCCTTTCGTTACAATGCCTATTCTAATCGATCACCGGTGATCGACGTTTTTCGGTCATCGATTTTGGCATGTTAAATTTATTTCTCGTGCACCCAGCACTTTCTAGTAGTTAGTTCAGTCACTCAACTTTCATAATTTTTTGAATTTGCCGACTTGGGCAACATAGCGATTTTTTTACAGACTTTTGCGCGAACCAATGTGCGTGTGTAGTTGGAAAAATGCACTAGGTTGGTGAACTTGAAAGAAGTGCGTGCCCCTCATGATTATGCTGCTACAGTAACATAGAAGTTCTGTAATGATAACAAACCCTGCAAGCTAAATATTGAATTGATGTGTTAGCTTCGCAATTTGACCGAGTTTAGCTGTAATAATTGTCGGAAATTTATGCCAGTCAATCAAGAGAGAGCTGTTGCTAGAAGTCAGGAAAAATTACCTAATTCTACAAAAAAATATTACTCAAGGTCTGCCGAATGTATCAAGTGTGCAGGTGGCTCTCAGAGCCCATTTCCAGCCACTTTGGTTTTGCTTGTATCATTATATCAGACACAGGGTCACATCCAGTATCACTAGTCACTTTTATTACGCGGTCGTCACACGCGCATGGGTGCGCGTACGCGCTGCAAAACACATGCGTTGCTTTAAACTGTCTTGCAACAGCCTGAGCCATCCGTAGCCGTTTATGGGATTGTTTTGTTTACATCCTCAAGTTATCTCCTCCGCCACAAGTACATATAGCTTCTGACCTTTGTGCATAATCATAGAGATTTAGGTTACGTGCGTGGTCCACACTTCGCTAGGGTGCGGTGTGGTGGCGCTGGCTGCAGAGCTTCTCCTAATGGCAAGAATGCCCCCGGAGCACATCTTGACCCTGACTATGGAGCAGTGCGAAACATTTTAGAACTGCATGCAATTTTGTTCTTTTATTACAATATGCACAAAGATGCAAAGGAATATACTTGGATGCATATATTGTCACAAGGTAGGCTGGCAACTATAGTGGCCAGCCTCTGAGAAGGATAACGAAGTAGTTCGGTGGGCGCATGCTCTGGTGTTCGTACTTTTGGCCTTTGGTTACGAAAGTAAATGCACTGTGTTGTGCGTGCGTCCCTGTGTCTTTGTGACATTTTCTGGTGGAAGTGCTGGGTACGGTAGATGATACGGTCCCCAGAGAGCACCCTTGACGCAAGCCGATCGAGTAGCTCAGCCGAGTTTACCCCTGTGCACATACGTTCCAGTCATCACCTCCGGGGGCCCGAACCGCAACACGGTTTGCTGCCTGAACGTCAGAGCACTATGAACCAAGCACTGCCTAATGTCAACGAACCAGCACTAGCGCACCTGGTTGTCAACCAGCTCAAGACGCCGAAGACATTTCACGGAGCTGCTTTTGAAGTTTGAAGATGCCGACAACTAGCTTGAGCATTTTGACAGGGTTGCCACCATCAATGATTGGACTCCAGAGCGTAAGCTACGCTATGTGAACTGATTTCTCGAGGACTCCGCGAAAACGTGGTTTGAGAACCATGAAGCAACGCTTACGTCATGGGATGAGTTTTACCGGCAGTTCAATGCCTTTGCCCGAGAGGACAGGAAAGAGACAGCGGAGCGAGTGCGAGTCAGTACAGAAGCAAGGGTTCAAGGCCCTAACAAAAGGGTGACGGCTTACATAGAGGACATGGATTGGCTTTTCAGGCGTGCAGAGCCCTTTATGACCGAATCGCAAAAAGTTCGCCACATAATGTGTGGTGTTAAAGAAGAGATTTTTGCCGGCCTGATTCGAAACCGACCTGCGACACTTGCCGAGTTCCATGAAGAAGCCACTGCCATAGAGAGGGCCCTTCAACAGCGTGCCAGGCAGTATAACCGTGGCGTACATCCAAGTGAAGTCACTTCTGTCACTCTCGGCAATGACATCAGCGCATTGCGAGAGCTCATCAGAGCTCTCATTAAGGAAGAGCTACAAAAGATGCAGGTGACTGCTTCACCTGTAGAGCAGCTCTCCGTTGTGCAGATGGCACGTGCCAAGCCGTTCACGCTCCCCAACAGTCCGAGGCGCCACAACAGAGATACGGCGTCGAAATGAGCTACGCAGAAGCAGTGCGATGTCCTCCATCGTGCAGTTCACCCAGCGTGTTTTACCCCAATGAGCGACTCGCTCAGCAAATGGAGGTAAGCTTCCGTCCTTGCAGCTCGCCGTTGATTGCTGAAGCACGAGCGAGGAAGGCGTACGTTGACCACAGGCCCCTTTGTTTCCACTGCGGGGAAGCCGGACACGTCTACCGAACATGTCCATACCACCGTGTGGGTCTCCGTGGATTTTTGCCTAACGCCCCTCGTCCACGACCTGGCGAGCGATCACTGGAAATAGAGAGTTTCATCTCGATTTGTCGCAGTATCGGACATCGGTCACAAGAGCCCCGCTCGTCGTCACCTGCTCGCTACAGGTCACCGAGCCCAACCTATTCACGCGGCGCTCCGAGACGCCGTTCACCCAGTTCTGCAAGTCCAGAAAACCGAGTTCAGAGACCTACGGAGGTGAGGCCGCTGACGCTGACTCTACGGAAGATCCTTCACTAGGACGACAGCGACGGCAGCAAAAAGATGTACAGACGCAGTCAAACGTGGTACGAAGAGTGGTGACATCAAACATTGCGGTAACTGTCGACGACGAAGAAGTAATGGCGCTAATCGACACTGGAGCAGACACTTCCGTTATGAGCATGGGTCTTGCCTCCAGGCTGAAGAAGTTTTCTACCCAGTGGGCTGGGTCACAGATACGTGCGGCAGGAGGCCACTTTCTCACTACAGTGGGACAGTGCACAGTGCGAGTCAGTATTCATGGATTTACGTATCTTGGAGATTTTGTGATACTGCAGAGTTGCTCGAGGGACCCAATTCTTGGACTGGACTTTTGCATGATAATGGAGCCGTGATTGACTTGCAAGAGTCCCAGGTGACGTTTTCTACGGCACACGCTTTAGCGCGCAACCCTCACGGCAGTTACGTCAATGCTTTGAGAATTGTTGACGATGACGTCCCGTTACCACCGAGGAGTAGCGTGTTGACCTTGGTAGCCTGCGATGTTTTCGATGAATTCAAGGACTATGAAGGTATTGCAGAGGCAAATATCCCGCTGCTGCTCAAATGAAACATCTGCATAGCCCAATGCCTTGTTCGGTTAGAGAATAAACGCTCTCGAGTTCTGCTGACCAACTTCAGCAATGAGTTTCAGCACGTCCCTAGAGGCACCACTGTCGCTTTCCTCAGTGAAATCGCCAACTTTTTCGATGTTGGCACACTGAATACGACTTCACCGCATGCAAAAGCTTGTGCTGACTTGGGCAGCCGCATTCACGTTAATCCTGACTTGCCAGATTCACGAAAAGAGAGGCTGCTAAACCTTGTGACAGAATTCTCGGACTGCTTCTCCACAGCATCGATAGTTCAACGTACCGCAGTTACAAAACACCGCATTGTTACCGAGGAGTCGGCGCGGCTTCTTCGCCAACATCCATGCCGTGTGTCCCCGAAGGAAATAGAGGTGATTAAGCGTCCAGTACAAGAAATCCTGAATGATGACGTCATTCAACCCTCGACAAGTCCGTGGGCGTCACCTGTTGTCCTAGTAAAGAAAAAAGACAACACACTACGTGTCTGCCTCGACTGCCGACGACTTAAAAAAGTCAGAAAACACGACGTTTACCCCCTGCCACAAATCAATGATGCCTTAGACCATCTACGCCATGCCCAGTTCTTTACATCATTAGATCTCAAGTCAAGGTACTGGCAAATTGAAGTTACAAGGGCGACCGTGAGAAAACCGCGTTCGTGACTCCGGACGGGCTCTACGAATTTAAAGTGCTGCCTTTCTGTCTCTGTTCTGCTCCCGCCACATTTTAGCACATGATGGACACTGTACTTGCTGGACTAAAGTGGCAGACGTGTCTTGCATACTTGGATAACGTTGTTGTGTTTTCAAGCACGTTTGACGAACATCGTTCAAAACTAAGAAGTGTCCTCACTGCCATAAGGA